GAAGCAAGTGTCATTTTTTCAATTTTGGCCATAACATGTGATGATCATTTGTGATTAGTTCATTCCAAAATATTATAATTTAATTTGGGTTTAAAATACCTTCTCTTTCCTCTTTCTCCCTTATTTCATAGACTTTGGAGTCATCTTGTTCATTAATCAAGATTGAGATACCTTAAGGTTTTATGTAATCTCTTACAAAGAACCAAGGAGAAATACAGATAAAGGAAAATAATGTATGGAAAGAACTGATTCAGCTCGTCAGAATTCTGAATTTAGTTTACATGAGATCCAAAAGCATTTTCCTGCTTTTCATATCCAAGTCCTTAATGAGGCAGTTTTGTCAAAGTGAAATCTCAAAAATAGAATGTTCCAGTAAGATGTCTTTTAAATCTGTCTACTCTTTGTGTATGCTAAACTCATCAAATGCTTTTCTAAAATAGCTACTGTTTTGCAGCAAATGAAGCACAGACAATTGAATGTGTCAACACCACTCATGGAGTCACGCTAAGATTCATTTATTTTTGTCAGGCACCCATACTAGTAGTGAATCAACTGCACTGCATTTGTAGTCAGATGTCACACATATTGCAAACATATCCCAAAGGCTTTTGTTCTGCTCTCAGATGGGTTGTACACTGCAGTAAGGGCTGCAGTGACCCAGGAGAATTGGCACCTGGGAGCATCAAGATTGCCTTTGGCTGGCCCAATTCTGAAAGAAAGGAAACCCCCTTTTTAGTGTAGTGCTATTCAAGAAAAGCCTGCTTTGTCAGAGTAGAGTAACTACAGCAAAATATTTGGTGCATCATTTTCAAGGTGGGACCAAGATAGTAGGACCAGCTCAATGGATGGTGGACAAAAAGATGAAGATGATGGATCAAAAGATAATCCTTATAACAGGATCTGCAGGACCTCCACTTCTCCTTAGAGAAGGATTCAAAGCTTGTTCCCATGCTGAGGACATACTTCAATCTGGAACTTCCCTGCCTAGGAATTCAGTGTGGGAAAGTCTGGACAAAAATTTGTGTGTCTGCATAGTGCAAAGAACCACAGTGGTCCTGGATAAAGATGTACAGAACATTCTTTTCCAAAGACTCGTGGAAACAGAAACATTTATTCAACTGAGCAGCAAAACAGTAACATCTGGGAAAAAAAGGACATCACATAAAGAAAAGACAAGCTGGATAGACCTACTTTGTGCATTAAATAATGAGAATACAGGGTTTTGCTATAACCTTTATCTTGGCAAGGATGATTGGAGAAGAAGAGCTTTTTTGGTCTGACCAGGTATGAGAGTAAGAGAAAAAAGTCTGCAATGGGTTTGAATTGGAGGCAGCTCAAAAGGCTGTCACTAGCACAGCCATCAAAGTCATACCATATAAGCTCAGTAAATATCACTCTTCCAGATGTTGCTGTTTCTAAGAATATATGTGAGGTTGTGTCCCAGAGCATATGGTGCCATTTCAAAAGTTGCACCACAGTAGGCAGCTGAGTGGGAGGAAGCAGGAAGGGAGAGAGTATGCATGGATGTCTCTCAAGGCCACTTTTCCTTTGGAGTTTTCCACATGCCTGTCACTGCTGCAAACGCCCATATTGCAAACAAGAGTCAGCTACACTGTGATGTAGTTTGTTACCAGGTGGGAGAGTTAACAGTTTCTCTTATCTTGTAATCTCACAGACATAGGTTATTTGCTTAATAGACAAATTTGACCTTGCAAATATTGGCGCAATACAAGGAGTAATTAAGTTTTACTGCAAGCAAAACACATTTTCCTTCCCACTAATAGTTAGAGCAATCACTGAAATTGGGTTCCTACTCATGACTGGAAGTGTAAGCCCAGAAAGGACTCTCAGGAGGCCTCTGGCGATGTTCAGGTGGCAAGGATGGACTATGGTATAGCCATTAAGACATTTGGATGGCTTTCTAACCCTGCATAGCTAAAATATGGGGCATGTTCTGTATTTCCCCTAGATGCTTGCCTGAGGAAATGGATTGTTTGGAGAAATCACCTCTTGTATCTTCTTTTAGAGTATGAATATTGTGCTATATCAGTGGCTACACAAAAAATGTTTATACTCTTCTTTTTCAAAATTTATAGATCAACACAGAGTATTTAAACAAATCATAAAGTAATAACCTGTAATAGACTGACTTTAAAACAACGGCTGAATTGGAAAATCTTTTTATTTTAAGGTCTCAGCCTTAGTTTCCTGACTCTTTACAGACTCACATGAATAAGCTGGAGGTACAACTTTGTTTTCTATCACTTAACCATTGAGCCAGCTAGTCTCTTGACCTTACTTGGATTTGCACCAGTGTCACAAATTATAATGTTTTAAATTTGATTAATGATTTATTAAACCAGCTATTTAATGTCTTCAGCAGGATCTGCAGCAATGTCATACAGTTGAAGATCCATGTCCCACTGCTGATCCAAACATCCAGCCAGTTCTAAACAAAACAGAATAAAGAAATTATAGTTAAGGAGTCACTGAAAAAAGAATCAGACCTACATGATAACAAAACTATAGAAATTATACTGAATACTTATTCTAAACGTGAAGTGTCTGATCACTTTCAATGAGAGTTTAAACCATCCTTTCCCACACTGTAATGAAGAGAACAAACTGTTATCTTCTTGTAATCATACTGAAGGCTCCTTTTTTTTTTAAAAATTAAGATTTCTACAGGTTACTGCAGAAGTTAGTACAGGAGCTTCCTGTCTGCTCAAACTGTTTCCCCAAATGAGTAAAAGATGTAATTCAGTGGTGCTCATGATAAACTGAGAAAGCCACTCTGTTTCCCAGCAGACCACATGGAACAAGCATGGCTGGCAGAGCCAGCTTGGTGAAAAGGCAGTGCTTCAGTCAAAGGAGAGACACTGGTAATTACCAGCTGGCAGACCAAATAATGTAAAAAATTTGCTTAGAGGTTACTGAATTGTGTTATACTTCACCTCTGCCATGACCAGGGCAGCTTTATGTTGGTTTTGATGAGGAAAACTTGTTTTTCTCTGGATAGTCAACGTGAACTCCAGTGTGGATTGCTAGCACATTACCTGGAATATGTCCTTGAAGTAAAAGGCTTCTGCATCACACACACTTGTTTTCTTACTGTGTCACAAATTTGCCTGCAGGACATCCTCCCATTCTCAACCATCTCTTGGATTGTCATGGAACAACCACCTAGTTTACAAGGCTTTTCACATCATAGTAACAAACCCCCTGTTATCAATTTCAGCTTCTCCTTTACTCAGTCTTTTAAAAATTTGTAAACTTATTTTATTGCTTTAATACAATCATCTACTACATTTTTATACAAAAATATTCTCATACAAATCCCTCTAGTAGGCACTTATAAGTCCAGAAATAACAAACCTAATGCTGCCAGTGAAATCTGAATTTTGCTCCTCCTTCTCACCATCCACAAGAGCAACAAATCAACAGGCTACACAGGGAGACTGAGATGCTCTGAATAAACAATACTGTTTTTAGGGTGTGAGAATCCTCTGCAGGAACTACAAAATGTCAAGCTATTTGCTTGCACTTTAGATAATTTCAGATAAAAAAAAAAAAAAAAAAAGTCTTTTTGCCTTGTCTACAGCAGAACATTCAACAAATAGTGTCTGAACCCGTGAGGGAACGGCAGTATGAGCACCAGCGATGCAGTATATCTTCAGTAACCATGCTGTTTTGGGTTCAGGCTTACACCCACCCACATATGTTGTATTATACCATTGCATAACCAGAGATCCCTGGAGCCTGCATTCTCAGTCTCTATGGCTGCACACACTGCAACTGCTGTGCCAATACAGAAATACTGATAGCGTGTGCTGGTGCACCACCCCACCAAAGTGCTACTAGTGCCACTTTCCCATAGACAGCAGAGGATATTTCTTCAGCCCTTTCTTTCTTTCTTTCTTTTTTTTTTTTTTTTTTTGGTGCTAGTCGTTGATCTAAGAAGGTGATATGCTAAGGAGAAAACTGAAGTGGTTCATTTATGTACATGCAAATTACAAATGCTTTCAATAATTGCTTGTTAGTAGGTAGTCAAAAGGAGACTAATACAGAGTCTGCTATTAGTAAGACACATTGAAAATGCAAGAGGAAAACCCAAAAATATAAAGATGTGTTGAAACTGGGGGACTTGAATTTTGACAATCGGTTATCATTTGTGATTGATGACGGTGCTAATAAATGTGGAAGACGTTTGCCTATGTATTCATTCAAAATGAGTTTAAATATTTGCTTCCTGAGAGTATCCCATGTAATGTAAGTAAGACAAAAAAAGATGACAGTAAGTTGCTTTGTCAAAACAACTGTTGCTTTGTCTGTGCAACAACAGCTTTAGTCTCAGTAAAGCGCTCACAGGTGAGAGAAGAGGCCCGGAGAGGTAGAAAAAACACCCTGCTGAGCCCTGCTGAGGAAATTGGTGGGAAAAAAAATTGTATGTCTGTGTTTGTAGCCTGGAGAACAGGAGGCTCAGGGGGGACCTCCTCACTCTCCACCTGAAAGGAGGCGGCAGCCAGGTGCGGGCCGGCCTCTTCTCCCGGGACAGGACAAGAGGACACAGCTGCACCAGGGGAGGCTCAGGCTGGATGTCAGGAGGAGATTATTCACAGAAACAGATTATTGGACATGGCAAGGGGCCGCGCAGGGAGTGTGCAGCCACCGTCCCCGGAGGTGTTTGAGGGAACACTGCATGTGGCATCAGTGCCACGCTGCACTCGACAAGGCTGCTCACGGCTGACGATCACTGACGTCTTTTCCAACCTAATTCAATCTGTGGTTTCGTGCCAACCAAGAGCAGGGATCATTACCATCCTTGCTTTCTGTCTTTTCCCCTTTCCGAAGTTTCAGGAATTAAACTGCCAGCCCCCTGGAATCAGGGATCCCGCGGCTCGGGCTGCCTTCTCGGCGCTGGATTGCTGCTGCCTGCGCCGCGCGCACCGCGCTAGTCTCGCGCCCCCCCGCCCTGTGCCGTCGTAGCCTTGGCCCCGCCCCGGCCCCGCCCCGGCCCCCCGGCAGTGCGGTGCTGCGCCGCGAACATGGCGTCGGAGGGGATGATCCTGACGAACCACGACCACCAGATCCGCGTCGGCGTCCTCACAGGTACCGGGCCGCGCCGGGCACTGCGCTGGGGACGCGCGGGGGGCGGCCGCGGGTCGGTACGCGCCTCAGGCCGCCCCGCGGGGTGCCCCGCCGGCCGTCTGTCTCTCCCGTGGCGGCGGCGCCGCCGCTGCGCAGGGAGCGCCCCTCCGCCGTGCGTGCGGTACCCGAAGCCCGGAGCCGGGTCGGGGCGTGGGGGCGGCGCTCCGGCCGCCGGCGGACAGCGTGAGCGGAGCCGACCGGCGCTGGGCAGCGCTGCCGCAGGCGGGCGGGCGCCGCAGCCACGGGGACTGACCCGGGGATAACCCGCGCGAAGGGGACGGAGTGCGCGGGTGGGCGAGTGCCGGAGGGGATCGGGGGCCGGAACGCGGCCCGGCTTCCTCCGGGCGCGGCGGAGCCGCCAGTGCGAAGGCGCTGGGGAAGGGAGGGAGCCCGCGGCCGGCGCAGGCTGCGGGCCGGCAGGTGCCGGGCCTGCCTTCCCCGGGCGGGAGGCGGCCTCAGCTCCCGGCCGCGGGAATGCCCGAGCTCGGCACGCTCCGCACGGCAGCTCCTTTGGGATGGCTCCTTCCCTTCCCCCTCCCTGGCCTTTACTTTGGGGATTGGGAGGGGGTGGGTGGGGATGCTTGTGCCTATGTGCTCTCTGTTGGGAGGGGGAGGAGGGCATTTATGCTGCTGCTGCTCACAGCGCACGGATGATCCTTTAATAAACCCGTGGCACATGACCTGCGGTGGTTGCACAGAAGGGCTCCCGGAGCCGCTGCGGGTGTGACGGGCTGGGGGCTCCTTTGCCGGTGTATTGCGGGTATCCCGGTGCCCCGCGCAGGGGGACGCGCCCAGGAACCGAGCCCCGAGGGGTTCCGGTGTACACGGGCGTCAGCGCCGCTTCTGTGCGGGGAAGGGGCCGGAGATACCGGCGAAATTTTTAGGCGTCAAGCTCAGTGGGTTTCACCGGGAGCCTGGGAAGACACGGTTGTTCGTGGAAAGCAGCGTTGTGAGCTCGCTTAGGAGTAGGAGGATGCTTGGAGTGAAAGAGGGGACATTGATGGGAGAGGAGGCCTGGAGTTAACCCTGGAGTTATTTATTACCGCTAGCGGTGTTTAACCCGAGCGGCGTTCCGAGCCCGCGGGAGCCCCCGGCGCTGTTCCTCTGCCGAGTGCTGATCCCGCTGCCGGGAGCAAGGGATGTCGCGAAGGCTGGAGCCCTTCCCCTCCTTCCCTTCCTGGGAAGCGCCTGGCCGCAAGGTGATTGTGACAATATATCGCTAGAAAAGCACGGTAGATACAAGTGGAAATCCTTAGCGTGCTTGTAAATTCCAGTCAGTCAGATCCTTGATATGAGTAGATCGTGTTGGACCAGATGCAAAAGTCACATGGGGGGTTTGTTCCCTTTGTTCCTGAAGGATAGGACATGTGTGCCACTACCTATTACTGTAAAAGTTAAAGTGGAAAGGGAGTGCCAACAGAATGCATATTTTTCTTTGCATATTTTGTACAACTTCATGGTGTGCAAGTTGGGTTATTATTTTCTTTTGATCAGAGAGTTGTAATAATTTTCACATGTAAGTGTTCCCAGAATGCAGTACCAGGCACATATGGTGTTATAATTTAAATAACGATTTAGTCTCTCAATAGGTTCAGATAGTCTTTCAGAATACACTTATTTTGTACTGTAAATCCTGTTTGATCATTGTTAAACTCTTTTAACTTTGTATCTATCATAATTTGTAATTTCATTGAGAATAGCTTCTGGCCTAATTTTAGTAGTTTGTTTTTTTTTTAGAGGAAAGCCAAGAGGCATAACCAAACCGAACAGTTTTAGGGTTTTTTCACCGAAATGTAATTGTTTTGAATTCCAGGCTAACAATTTTTGCAAATAATTATTTTCCCATTTTGAAAGGGGACACCTTGATTTCTCACAATTTTCCTAGCCCCCTTTTTATGTGTGTTTGTAAACCAGAAATGAAATGTTATTTTCTCCTTCAGCATCTCCTTTAACCTGGAAACAGAATATTTGTACTTTGGGGATTTGGACCCCCTAGCTGTTTCTGCTGTTTCAGCTATGAAAAGACAGCAAATTAAAAAATGTACTCTTCTTAATAATTGCTGCTGTATGGAGGAATAAGTGTAGGGATGAAAAGGTTAGGTATGTGAACTATTTTTTTTTTAACATTTAGAATAGCTCAGTGATCAGAAATTAGATCATTAACGTAACATGACTCCTTTAGCTTTTCTAATTAAGATCATAGGCATATGTTTGTTTTCTTGTATATACTTGTAGTCTTATCAGCACAGGCATACAGATTTATGCTCCTGTTAAACTTGGTATACTCAGTTTAGAAAATAATCAGTACTGCACCTTATGGTTATACTCAGACAGAATTTAAATTTACTTAGGAAGGAGTAATTCTGTTGAATTAATTTGGAGTAAAGTTGTGTGTTTATTTTTATATGAGGACATATAAAAATTATTTGGGCACATTGTTATTCTTATCTGTTGTAGAGACTGAGACACATGGCTCCAGAGAATATTGAGAGTGAGTAATGTTTGTCATGAAGCTTAGTTTCATTACATTGTTTTGTTTTGAGTAAGTTATTGTATTTAGGTTTGCTTGGTAGACCTCTGTGTTTGTGTATGTATTGCTAGTTTCCATCTAGAAACAAACGTGTATTTTTTCTCTTGTGGCAAATTTGGACAGGTACAGTGGATTAGAGAAGTAGAAATCTTGGTTATTGTTTATTTAATAATAAGTAACTTAACTGTGTTCAAATGCACATTTATGCAGAATGTAGCACCTTGGGCTTTTCTTACAAAAATTATTTGTTAACTTTTCTTATTCCCAAACTGTCAAGGTCTTTTAGTTAAGAGTCAATGATAAGAACAAAGTCCATAATTAGGACATTTTCTCAGCATGAAAGAACTGTCTTCCTGAAATCAGGAAAAATACTTTTGTGTATACAGCATCTATGGACTTGAAGATGACACTCATGCTTATTTTTGAGTCTCTGTATGGAAAGTTGTAGAGTTATGCTTCTTTACTGAAACAGGAGGAAATATACAACGGACTGATTACAAAACTGTGAAACTTGCGAACTACAGGGTTATGTCTTATGCACATAGGAAGCCTCACTGGTTTGTGGATAGAAACATGAATTCTAATCTTTGTGTGTTATCATTTCAATAAGTTTTCTAATTTGTGAAGAGTGAAAATGTCATATTCAGCACCAGGGTTTAATGAAGTGTTCAGATTCAAGATACTGCTTGCTTAGGTTCCAAACCTAGGTTTTCTCTCTGCTACCTTTGATATGTAGTGCAAGCATATGAGCTACTAACAGAGCTTCAGTATTATGTTGTCATGAGGTTACTTTTATGGTAAAATGCATTTTAAAAGGGCTTTGATGCTAACTGTCAGATTGGGAGATTTTTGTGATGGAATAACAGAGTTGGACTAGCAATGTCCAAAGCTTAGTCATTTAAGTGTTCTGGATATCTCCTTTTAAAAAGGAAACAGTCATAGAGAAAGAAGAAATGTGGGGTAGATAAATGAAAAAGAGGAGAGATCTCCACATTTACAGTAAAGACTGGATTCTGTGCATGCTCTGTATGTACTGTTTTGCATCAGTGCTTCCTTAGTAAAGTACAGGTTCAGAATTCCTCTGGTTGCCCCTTGCAAGCCTTTCATGTTTGGGATATCTCTAACAGAACAGTTGTTAATCAGTTACCAGTGGTGTCAGGTTGCTGGACCTGGTGTACCAAGTACAGAATTTTGTAATGTCGAAGTTGGCTAGAAAAGAGGAGAAATTGTGTGCTCTGGCCAGAGTTGAATCAATATTAGGTCATCCTTCACTGGTGGTGGCATTGGTAACAGTTATATAATCTGTGACCTTTCTTGTTTTGTCAGTGACTAAAGCAGACCCTTGACTGGAACCGTCCAGAGAGTTCTGAATGATGTTGCCTTCTCCACTAGCCCAATGGAGAAAAACATTCTCTGGTTTTCTCTGGTTGCTCCTGTTCTGTGATTTTTTCCTCTCCATCCCCATTATCTTCTTATTTGTTTCTCTTCTTGTTTTTTCTCCAGTAAGCATTTAATGTAGCTGGCCAAAACTCGAGGTTTTGTTACACGTTTGTTTTTTTCAGAATATTAGTGATAAAAATTTATCAGATTTTGGGTTGGCTTATAACTCTTCATTTAGTTTGTCTGCTTTTGAGGCAGGTCTGTCAGAAAGTCCTCACCAGATATGAACACCATTTTCCATCTTTGCTTCTCATTTTGTATTGTTTCTTCCTTGTTTAGGAAAAGACTTTCAGACTAACTTTCTTTCAGGACAGTTTTACTGTGTTCAGTATTGCTCTCAACGTGGTACAGACTTTCCCTTTCATAAAGGGAGTAAGAGGTTTAGGCAAATTTTTCTTCAGATGCATTGTTCTTCCTTTCTTCCTCTTTCTTCTTTCAATCAAAAGATTGAAACATTTTCAATGATAGCTGTTGCCATAACCTGCACAATAAAGCAGACAAATGTTTCTGAATGTGTTACTCAGACCTTGATGTCCAGGTAACCCTGCAGTGTGGAAGATGACAGCCCTGTCTTTGTGTCTGACTCCCTCCTTGGTTGAAATGACTCTGAGCATGGACATTGTGTCTGAATGTATCGCTTTGAAGCAAGCTTTCTTCTGAGATGGTTAGGCCCTTATCTACATGAGAACTGCAACCAAAGCAGTTGCCTGGGCAGATCTGAAGTTCAGTGATATGAATGTTTTGTAAAAATTATCTTTGAGAAATGTGGCAAACAAAACACTTAGGCTGTCACTATATGTTGATCAGACTGTTTTAGAAATGTATTGGCTGTCTGTTTCCCAACTAAAAAGTCATATGCCTCTTTCCTATTTGATGAGGTACCGTCTCATGACTTTCCTCTAGCTGTTCATTAATAACATGCAAGTTGCAAGATCTCTTAGCCATGGTGGTTCTGTTCATACTTTGGAATTAGTGGGAAGCTTTCTAATAG